GATAGATAGATAGATAGATAGATAGATAGATAGATAGATGATAGATAGGTAGATGGTAGATAGATGATGACAGATGACAGATGATAGATAGATGATGATAGATGATAGATGATAGATAGATAGATAGATAGATAGATAGATAGATAGATAGATAGATAGACAGATAGATAGATAGATATGGAGAGAGGGAGAGAAAACACAGCATAATGTGCTAAATACCATTTCAGGGATGTACAGAGGATACCACAGGAGTACCAAAGGGAAACACCATTTTGAAGGTTATGGAAGTTTCTCAAGAAAAGCTATTCTTGAGCTGTCTAAATAGTTAGGCCAGACAGAGTAAAAGGCAATGACATGGAATGGTGTATGAAGAGAACGGCATGAAATTTAATGCTATTAGGAAGTTATACTAAACATGTAACCTTCATTTAAATTGGAAATATCAGTAAGAACACATGATTTTTTCTTTCCTAAAAAAGTTTTTCTAGTTATATGCACTGAAAGGCCCAGAAAAAATGACAACCCTGGAGGAATAAACACCTCTAGAACCCAGGTAGTGATCTGAACCATAGGTTATTGAAGAAATGACTACATCCAGGTCTGGGACAGGAAATGTACCTGATGAGCCTGGGTTGTCTTGTGCAGAGAGGGTGTTAAAGATAAATGAGGTCATATTTAAAGACAATATGAAGGGACTCCCAGTGGTCAAAGACAGGACAGTTTAAGTATCAAAAGAAGTAACAACTGTGAAACATCAAATATACAAAAATTCATGAATGTATAATAATACTGAAAAAACCCTCAATGGTTACTACTGGAGGTAACGTTACTCTAAAATGAATAAAGGAAAAGCATCAAGATTTATCCAGCCTTTCCTATATAAGCCATATTTCCGGATAGCCAAACAGCAGTTGTGGAAAAGCTCTCCTTAAAGAATTCTAGCTAATAAATGCAGAAGGAATGACCCTTAGAAAAATCGCTCGGCCAGGCGTGGCTTAGGGCTGAGCATTGACCCAGGATCCAGGAGATCCAAGGTTCCATTCCTGGTCAGGGCACATGCCCGGGTTGCGGGCTCAATCCTGGGTCAGGGGTGTGCAGCACACAGCCTATCAGTGACTCTCTCATCATTGATGTTTCTATCTCTCATTCTCTCTCCCTTCCTCTCTCTGAAATCAATAAAAATATTTTTTTAAAAAGAAAGAAAAAAGAAAAATCACCACATTACCACTCCTAATGAAATATATGTGGGCAATAATCACAAGGATATTCAACTATTACTTACAGGTTGATAAGGAACTTTATAGTTCTTAAATTGGCATCACCCAAAGTAAGACTTGCAGCCATTATGTGCCTCATGCTGTGATATGAAAGGGAGTGCTCGGTACCACTAACGCATTTTTTCCTAAATACTGAAACTGAATCAAATTAAGACTTTACATCTAAGTACCATTTTATAGGAAATAAAAGAGAAAAAGGAGCAAGCTGAATGACACCCCAAGGGAGCAATCAGCCAAACCCAGAACGTGTGTTGTAAACTAAATTTTGGGTTCTCCCCCAAAATTCATGTTAAAATACTAACTAACCCCAGTGTGGTGATATTAGGAGGTGGGGCCTGTGGGTAGAGTCTTCGTGAATAAAATTAGTGCCACATAAAAAGAATCCAGGGACCTCTCCCACCCCTTCTGCCTTGTGAGGACACACTGAGAAGACTGCCATCTAAGAACTAGGAAGCAGCTCCACACAGAATCTGCCTGCACCTTCTTGACCATGGACTTTCCTACCTCCATAACCATGAGAAATAAATGCTTGCTCTTTGAACCACCTAGTCCATGGTAGTTTTGCTAAAACACCCCAAACAGACTAAGACATTGTGATATATTCTACAGGAAAAATACAGTTTCTCCAACAAATCAGTGGCATGATAAAGGGAGGGGGTAGGAAGAATACAGGTAAGGAATAAAAGTGACTTAGAAGTTATAAAAATGCAATGTGTGATCTTTGTTTAGATCTTAAACTAAAAAGATGTCCTTGACATAACCAAAGAAATTTAAATATGGACTGGATATCCATATTTAAGGAATTACAATCAATTGTGTTAGATATGCTAATGGCATGGTGATTATATTTCAAAAAATTAAAAGTCCTTTTCAGTTTGAGATGAATATAAAAGAATTTTTACATGAAATGACAAGTAGCTAGAATTTGCTTTAAAATACTCCAGGAAAAAAATGTTTAGGGAGGGGTTAATAAGACTGGCAAAATTTGACAATTGTTAAAGGTAAGTGATGGGTCCATGAAAATTCATTATACTACTCTCTCTAATCTGTATATATTAGATAGTTTCCATAATAAAAAGATTGATTTTCTTTTTGAAATACGCAATCTCGAAAGTTTGATAAGCATATTTGGCTGAAGAATTAGACACACTCCATATGCTCCTGGATAATGAAATTATAAAATATCCTAACAGACTTTACTTTTTTAAAAATAGGGGCAAGTTTGTGGGTTTTTTTACTTTGCTTAGATATGGGTCACTAAATTATAATTTAATCAGGTGCTCTTTTGCCATAAATTTTATTGCCTGATAAATAAACAAACCACTTATTTAACACTAAAATAAAATTTTAAAGATACGCTTATTATTCTGTCAACATTAAAGAGATTTCTTTATATTTAAAACACGGAATATTAATCTCATAAAAAGGGGTATAGAAGAGTTAAAAATAAATGGCCTGTTTTATTCCAGAGCCTAATTCCAAAACGACTAAAAATTTATTTATTCATTAGATGCAATGTCAATGTCAACTATTTACTTAGCTATGAGGTGAGAGGACCAGCAATATCAAAATGCTTCTTTTGACATTTAAGGTCATTTTATAAATGCTAGTTTATTTTTGTATATTAGCCTTAAGACTGAAACATGTAAGCTTAAATGCAGTAATTTCTAAAAATAAAATTGTCTTTTTACAGGGATCATTAACCAAACAGAATATAGTAACTACACAAATAGAAAGAAAAACTAGCTTGTGAATTCAAAATACAACATTACTACCAATAGGTAATCAATAAAGACAAAATACAATTTAACTAAAGGCGATCACATGAGCACTGTTTGAATCAGCAAACAGACTAATGTGCACGCAACCATGCATATGCACGACAGTAACCTGTACATGAAAACCCTGATCACTTTCACTCATTTGTCCAAAAGCGTTCTTACTTTCTACTAAATGGTGACAAATGGTTTTGCATCCTAAATGGTTGCTCCCCTAGAAAACAGCATTTATAGAGAAAGTAATTGGAGTTAGAAAAAAACACACACAAAATATGCATATACTCACTTTCTAAATAACCCCTACAAGATACAAGAAAACTGCATGAAACAAAGCGTATCCTTTCCGTTTCAACCTGAACTGACACTAATTCAATATCAAAGAAAACATAAATAATTCAGCAATATTCAAAACAGTGCTTTAAGCAAGCATGAGGGGCAGTAATGACTAGAGATATTATAGATTACCAGGAACGTATTACTACAATGCAACACCATTCCAAGACAAGCACTACATACCGAAGTAAGTTCTGAGGACGCGACCCACAGCACATCAACCAGCAGGAGAATAACAATCCCGAGCGCCATGCGCCTGCGCTGAGTGAAACCACTGCTCTGAGCGTTCATTCGGTTCATGATAAATACACACACCATTTGCAGTCTGTTTAGAAAACAGAGACGATTAAAAAAAACAACAACAAAAACCATAAAAATGAGAAAATTAGTATAACAGAAACTTCTGACATTTGTTAACTGATCTTCAGTTTGAAAGCCGCACAGTAATTTAAAAGGTGCTTGATTTACCTTATTTTAAAGGCCTTTCTGAGATCTTCAAGAGCAATGCCTGAAAACTTGGCAGATCTGAGTCTAAACGGAGGCGAAGAACTCGACGCACCTAAACGGAGGTGAACAGCTTAAAACAAGATTCATCACGTCTTTTTCACTCATCTTTACAGAGAACTCAAATGAAAGAAAAACACCAAAGTGCGTTAAACATGATTGACACTCCTCTCCAGATTTCAAGTTATATAGAGGAGGACACCATATAGGAAAAAAAAAAAAAGCAATATTCCACAAACTGCACCTAGAAGAACAGCTAGCTACTGGAAAACAGCTTCCCGTGGTCCATAAACACAGAAGTCCATTCCCCTCTCTCCGGAGCCCGCCCCGGACAGCGTCTAGACGCGCGCCAGTTTCTAAGGGTCTTTCTGTCGCTGATCTCGAGCGGGGTTCGGCTGAATGGAAGTCACTTGTTTTGAGTCTTGGGGACACGTTTCCAGTCACTCCCGCGGCAAAGGGAAAGGATCCTCCGCCCTCCTCACCCACGCCTGTCACTATATCTGGCTATTTTAGACCGAAACAGCAATTCGCGAGAGCGGAGCGGAAACAGCTGTTAAAGGGAATCGTCCTCCTCTTCAGGAGGAACAAAGCGTTAAGCCAGCGGCGCCTCCCGGGGACCGAGCCCAAGTCCAGAGGCGGCGGAGCGCGAGCAGCTTCCTCCCGCAGGGCCGGCGCCCGCGCCAGCCTCCCCCTCGGTCCGCGCGACGGACCGTTACCACCTCGGTCTAGGCGCCGCGGCCGCCGCCGAGGGCTGGAGGCGGGGCTGTTCGGGGACACTCCGTCCGCTTTGGGCTCCGGCTGATGGCGGGGCCCTCCCCTGCCTGCCTACCTGGCCTTCCTGCCCACCGAAGGTGTCGTGGCGGCACCATGAGCGGACCCGGCCCGGCCCGGCCCT